CCTCAGTCACATGATCTTACAGTATTGGGTGATTTAGTGTGGTGGACAAGCAAAATAATCTAACGTTTCTTCATCTGCAAGGGTAATAGTGTTTCGCAAACCAATTTTTAATTAATTCTGCTTTCAATTTGTGTAGTCCAACGTAACAAGCCGTTCTTTAACATGCACTTAAGTTTTCTTACTTTACTTTGATAATGATCGCGCTGTTTCATTCATCTGTTGAATTAATAGTATTTGCTAAATTATCAATTTATTCATTTTTAATCTGTTTCATTCGTTTCTTAATTTCTTTCTGTTTAATTTTCTGCTTTCTAATATGTGATCTATCATAAGCCACAGAATTCTTAATTTCGTTATATAATCCCTTTCTTTCAATAGACAGTCGGCATACTATGGGATCGTTGTGGTCTTATGACCTGTTCGTCTGACAGTACCAAATGTTCGCTTTGCGGAGATTTTAATGTATTCACATATTCGCTCAATTCTTTTCTTAAGATACCCATCTTTATATCTATGCGATGCCGGCGCATTATATTTTTCATTAAGTTACCCGTAAACAAAAATTGGAACTGTGATCGTTTGAATCCATGTTTCATTGGAAGTTGATAATATATGTGATGTATTTAAATGAGTTTAAAATGTTTTATGCAGGTGTTTTCGTATTACGTAGCGAGCAGACTCTTATAGGCCTACTTATTTACAACAAAAGAAACTAAGCGAGGGCTTAAGCATAACATACAACCAATTTTAAATCGCGCCCTCAACGAAACAAAGGACATAATATCAACATTTTGTAAGACGGTTGTTTTGCCTATTATTGTATTTTAGAGTTATTTTCTGTAGTTACAATGGAAGGAACAGATGAAGTCTCTACCACATCGGGTTCAATATACATAAAGTCACCAGCACAGACAACCTCTCCGTTATTGAGACCCGCAGGTAAGCATTAATTATAAGTTTTGGCTAGGCCATCATTGACCTCCGCGTGTAGGCTTTAGACCCCAATGAATGAGTGACTGGGGTCGGGCTCGTGATGCAGTAAATGCTACGTTTTAGGATTAAATATGAATTCCTTGGGCCTAGGTCTAGGCGAAAACGAGTAATTTAGGCGTGGTCTATGTGCTAAGTATTACATGTTACAGGAACCGTAGGGTTTATGTAATTTATTTTATTTTATTTAAATAATAAGTTTTTTTAGTTATAATTAATATATTTTAACAGAATGAACTACTACTATCTGACTCAGTTGTTTGCATGATAGTGAAAATGTTACCTTTCAGAAAGCTTGAACTCAGACAAACGAAGACTCTAAAAGGTAACATTTTCACTATGATATATTTTATTCTTATATTTTATATTTGATATACTGACTGTATGAATTAAGCCAAGGCATAGGCCTAGATGGAAGGCTAAGTCTAAATTAAAATGTTGAATTTAAAATACAGAACCACCACCCACACACACACATGTTCACAGATACAGGAAGTTTCATTGTTATATACAAAGGATTGCACACTAGGCCTAGTCAATGCCTTACAAATTTTTTTTAAGAACTTTTTTGTTCAAACAATTATTGATTCTCACCTTTTAGTGACCTCATTATCAAATTACCACCTGTTTTATCTTAGGTTGACCCTCAAATTTTGCATCACAACCAATCAAGGGTGAAGAGTATCAGTATGATTACTATATTTTATTTTATGATTACTGTACTTTATTTTATTTTTAATGTTTTCAAATATGATTGAAATTATGAATTGCATGCCTTTCAAATGATATTATTCTTGTTTTATTTATTGAGTGAGTGGGTCTTTGTATTGTATAGTAACCCTTTGTTGGCTACCCTTTAAAAATAAAATTGAAAATAATGCATTTTATATCAAAATTTGTATAAGTAGCATTGTATAAGTGCATCCCTACATCAGTCTATCCATTTTTTTTATATTACATAATATTTTTTTTACAACAGCATTAGGTGCCATAACACAAGAGGATTACCAGCAGCAATACTGGCCCATACTTGACAATGCTGTGCGTCAGTTACTAGCCAACTCCGGTAGCTATGTACCAATATCATATGAACAAATGTACAGGTAAGATGACAACTAATTTATACTTTTTAGATTTTAATTCATAATTGTTATTTTATGTTATGACTTCTCTTTTTTCATAATATATTCCAGTCTTTGCTTTCTTTTTTATTGTTTTTTTATTCAGTTATTTTCTTTTGATTTTTAATGTATGCAGTTGAGTAAGTTCATAATGTTACTTGTGACAAATGTCAATGTAATTTTGCCACTGAATATTGCATTCTGGGATGCATATTGGCATTCTCCAATTTAATACAGGTTGATTGATTTATTGATTGACTGATTGATTGATTGATTTGAAGTTTGGAAGTTTCTTTGCCAGCTCTATAAATGCGAGTTAAATGGTCGAGCGGTTAAGGCAGGGGCGCTGAAAAATGCAGATATAATATCGGCGCTGGTTCAAACAGCACACTTGCGTATGGTTCTGGAGGTGGAACAGTTTTTCTCGGATAAGGACTATAAACTGTAGGCCCAGTGTATACAGTTGGCTCATGTGCACTATAAAAGAACCCAGTACATCTTTCAAGACGAGTAAGGTTTTTACCTTAGTGTGCTGGTCAATCTCACAGCCCCTGTCACTGTAGTCTCATCCAGATGCTGAAATAAGTGTTGATGAGTAACTGAATAGAACTAGTCAGATGTGACTCATCTGAGGGTGACTTGTGTATTTTGAACTGTAATGTGTTATTCCAGGGTTTTGTGTCTGCAATAAAAACTGCAAACAAACAAAAGAATTAATGTTGTATTTTGGTATTATAAATTATCTGATGTATATATTATGTAATTTATTAACCACATATTTATTCTTTCATTGCAGTTGTGTTTATAAATGTGTTTGTCAACAACATTCAGAAAAGATGTATGAAGATTTGTTTCAGTTGATCAAAGAACACCTGTCCTCAATCCATTGTGAATTACAAGACCTTCATGTAAGGAAAATAAATGCAATTATTGATTAAATGAATTATGTCAACAATGATGCATATTAAATCTATTATGTTAGAAATTACTTGGAATTAATCATCATACTTTTATAATATTTATAATATTTGTTAATATGACAGACTTCTGTGATAACAATATTTATATAACAATTTATTTATTTATTTATTTCAACAATATGTTGTGAGGGTGGTCCATCCAGGCAGAGCTGATCAATTGGGACCCTTAAAAATGAATAAGAATAAAAGATAAAAATCAAACTACATCTTTAACTGAACAAATTAACAAATGGCAATATAATAATAATGTTACATTATTGTTAATATAAAATATAATATAATTGGTACTTAAAATATGACATGAAGATCACAGTGTGCAATGACATTCAAGCTTGTAATAATTGCAAAATGTATTTGTGTACAGCAATCCAATCCTGACTATTTCCTTGAGCGTTTCCACCAAGCTATGCAAAAGTACAATTATTCCTTGAAAGGCATAGTCCCAATTTTCAATTATATGGTAAGAAAATTTGATTATTTATTACAATAATTTTTAAAATTTGGTTTAGATGAGGATGATTATATATGGGATTCTATTAATCTGCTTATGACGCTTGGGAGAGCGGTTGCATTTGAGTGTAACAGTAGGGAGAAAGGTTGCATTTGAGTGTAATTTAGGGAGAGGGGTTCCATTTGAGTGTAACTCAGGGAGAGGGATTGCATTTGAGTGTAACTTAAGGGGAGTGGTTGCATTTGAGTGTAACTTTGGGAGAGGGGTTGCATTTGAGTGCAAGAAAAATGCTGTCTATATGCAAGGCTTGAACCCACAGCTTTGAAATTGGAAGGCAGGTACCTTCACCACCAAACCATAGATATCCATTTCTCTTGTCTTGGATATTATTTTTCCGTGATTTTCACACCGATCCCAGTCATTTGACATAAATATCAGTCTAGGTTATTAATGATTGTACACATTTTTTGCTTTTACAGAATAGATTTTATGTTACGCACAAATTGAATACAGACCTGCATCTAGAACTTACAAATCTGTTTACAGTCTATATAGTACAATCTCAGGCCAGACAGGTGATAAGTAAGTATACATGCATACATGAGTAATAACATGTTTTGATAAACATTGTTTCATTTACTATGTGCTATCAGTGTAAGTGAGCTGCTAGGGAGCAGCATAGTCCAGTTGCCTTAAAACTGGTGGTAGCCATTCTGTGCACTGAACCATTAAGATCCATGGATAACCTTGGTCTTCAGTTCCCATTGCTGCTCTCATCTTTCAGCTAAGAAGGTTAGAATCATTTAAACAGTTGGTCCTGTGTGCCATATGGCTCATGTCTATGTTAAAGAATGCAGGTTGTGATCTTCAGAACACAATGATTGTCTCCTGATGTGCTGCCCAGTAATCACCAGATGACAGAAGAACCCAATAGAAATAAGGTTTCAGACTTATGTGAGTTATCCTTGATGTTCACAGCAAGTAAACCCAAATGTTGTAATTTTTCTTGTCCTAATATTTTAATACTTTCTTTATATTTTCAGGGCTACTTGAAGAGGCTCAGAGCAGACCATTTGCAGTAAAGCCCGCCACAGCCGCAGGCATCATCAAAGGCCTATACTCATTAAATCCAGGTAATTCATGGCCTAACATAGGTTAAAGATTTCCCACACGAATAAAATATACGAGTGGTACTGGGTAAAGACAACTTGATTTCTTGCTTCAAACAAGTTATCCATTCGTAGAAGTCTTATGATGATAAGCCTATCCAAATAGTGACATTTAAAGGTAGGGACCAGGACATACCTCCGACTTAGAAGAATGTTAGAATGTTAAATGTAGACACAATGTATACATGGAGTCTAACTTTAGAACACAAAAAGGTGCAAATTTAAAAATAAGCTTATCATAATGAATGTATGTGTAATTATAACCTGTTAACTGTGAATAAGAAAAATGCAAAATTTAGAAGAATAAAGGAAGAAGGAAGAATAGGAAACTTGAAGTGGCTGAACCAAAAATCTACATTAATAATCATTTTGTTATTATTACATTACATTTTTTGTAAAATAAATTGTATATGGTCTAGGCACTAATCATCAGAGGTCTAGGTGCCAGCAGCTTACACGTTTCACACATTGAGTCCAAGATCAATAGTGATATGTTAAACCCTAAAATATTTTCTTCAGCATTTTATATTCTAAACCTAAGCAGTATAAATTGATATACACGCTGTTTGTTGTATAATTAGGTACTAATGAAAATCAACATTCTCTAAATTGCAACCAACAGAAACAATATATAAATATTGTAATCTAACTACAGTATTATAAGAACATCAGAAATGCAACCAAATATTAGGTGTAAAGTTTATATTTAAATTTATTTATTTAAATTGCTTTTGCATAAAGTGTGTCCTGATTGATTTGTTGACTGTTCTGATTACCGACTGGGTTGAAATAATTTTCATTTTCTTAAGTAAATAAATATTACGAATATGCAGTTGACATGTGAATACTGTTAAATTTGTTACATCTACTACAACTGCTATTGCTGCTACTGCTGCTACTTCTAGTTGTCACATTCATGAACAATAAGCCACACCCCCACTTATCACTTTACTGGTTTGTTTCACTAGAGTTTGCAACATTGAATCCAAAGCTGTTCGCAAAATACATTCCAAATGTCCTGCCACCAACACGAATTGAAGACTTGCCAATGTACGCGGAGGAAGCTCAACTCCTGCAACAGGATCTCCAGGAAGAGCAAGGCTTCTCAAGGTATCAGTGCTAAGCTTCTTTTTAAAGGAACAGTCCGACATGTTACTTGGTACTGTAACTTCATTGAGCCCGCATTTATCTTTCTATGCCTACCGTAAAACTTCTAATAATAACCCATTACTCTATTAGTAACGCCCCCTAGAGCTAGATTTAGACACGATAACGACACTACGACATGTCATCGCATATTTTGTATTATTCAACACTGCGCGCATCAGCATTTTGTCGTCGTGTCGTAATTGTGTCTAGTGTAAATGTAGCTCAATAGTAACCAATTCTGGAAGTTATTCTGTAATAATAAACCACTACTCTAATAATATCCCATGGAGTAGTTTGAACTGCATATGCCTGTATCAAGGTCAGTGAGCATAAACAAACATACACACAACATAGGTTTACCTAGATTGACCTTAAATACAGGCATGCGCATTTCAAATTATGAATTGGCTTATTAGTAGCTAATTATCAAGTATTGATAATTACATTATCATGATTTTTATCTTGGAATTTAATTAATTTGTCATTATTTTTGTAGGATACCTCAAGATAGGAAACGATCAAGTGAACAAGCCCTATTAAGTAAGTGCTTATGTTATAGTTGTACTCTATAAATCTCTGTATGCATCTGTCTGTCTGTTATACTATGTTTTTTTTTTAGAATGAAGTCTATTTGTATACAGTATAGTAATTGTATCTGTGACAAGACAAGGATTGTTAAAATCTGGAACTGTGATGCCCTATCGGATTTAAAGTTTTGTTCTTTATTGCAACATTGTCAATTTATTTATTATATTGTTTTATTTCAGGTTCATTACCCATCATGCAGGAGAACACCTGAAGATTATTGAAAGTTCAAGGGTAAATTTACTTGCAGGTCAAGGGTCACTGAACCATTACGAGGCCTAAAAAAAATGTGCTGGAATATTTATCAACCAAAGAGAGAGAGGGAGTTGTTACCTGTTCATGTGAAATTTGTCTTTCATGTAATTTAACACAAGCGCTATTTTATTTGAAATTGTGATTTGAGATTACAGTGATTTTTAAAAAATACTCATGATTATCATTTTAGTAGGTTTTAATTGTTAAAATTTTTCCAACAAGAGTTAAATTGAGTATTTGAATTAAAACTGTTTTAATTAATCAAAGTGGCATACTCAGGAGTCGGTTCAATTGACATGTGTGAAGTACATCCAGTGACAGCCAATTAATGGGCTGAGAGGTCAGGATTTTCACATTAACAGGCCTATGAATATATATTTTTACTCCAATTAAATAATTTAATAATCACCAACTTACGAGAATGCTAATTGAAGTTTGAAGTCTTTTATTAGGATAATTGACGTTAATTTTAACTAAGTACGTACAGGCAATTCTTTTTTTTTTTTTTTTTTCTTGAGCATATATCCTTGCAGTTCATATTTTATCTGAAATCCTTTTCTGGAAAAAAAGAGTTAAATTGAGTATTTGAATTAAAACTGTTTTAATTAATCAAAGTGGCATACTCAGGAGTCGGTTCAATTGACATGTGTGAAGTACATCCAGTGACAGCCAATTAATGGGCTGAGAGGTCAGGATTTTCACATTAACAGGCCTATGAATATATATTTTTACTCCAATTAAATAATTTAATAATCACCAACTTACGAGAATGCTAATTGAAGTTTGAAGTCTTTTATTAGGATAATTGACGTTAATTTTAACTAAGTACGTACAGGCAATTCTGTTTTTTTTTTTTTTTTCTTGAGCATATATCCTTGCAGTTCATATTTTATCTGAAATCCTTTTCTGGAAAAATATTTATTAATGTTAACAATTATAATTGAATCAATAGAATGAAAAATCTATTTCCATGTTATTAGTATTCTCACCCATGGGCCTAAAAAACCTTTTGAATTTGTGTACTTAGATTTTAGCTTTCCTTAATACTGAACATCTCAGGCACTAGAAAATATATTTGTACTGATGCATACAGGGGAAAGTCTACCAAGATGACACTTGGCATGGAACGACTACTATAGTTAAATGGCTTGGATGCAAGTAAAAGCAAGACACATTGAATACTATTTTTACCATGATACTTAACCAAAGTCTCAAAAGCCTAAATGAGGCTGGCCATTGCAAAAGCAGAGTACAGTATTGTCCCTAACTGTAAACTAATTAGCATAGCAGTATTGTATACTTTAGTACAGAGAAGCTATAATACTTTTACTCATAACTTGCAGTGGTAAGTGGATGCCAGTAAATGACCCATCATTTTTAAGCTTACAAATTAGAGAATAAGGAGCTTATCAAAAAGTAAATTTTATTTTTTTTGGTGACTGATGCTGTTTTTTGAGATGGCAAGACTCAAATGTAATTTCTATAAATAGATGTTTGTTTCCAGAGGAAAAATGACCTCAACATCTATGACCTGTTGGTTAGAAATGGCTGTCGTGCCATCTGAGGAGTGCAGTAATTTGTAGTAATTAACATCACTCATTAGAAAGCTTTTAATCATGATCATGTTCTGGTAATTTCAGAAATTGATGATGTACAGTACTTTTTTTAATATAAAATCCGCCTTTATCTTACATGCGGTGAATAGGGGAGGATTATTTGTATCTCTAAATTATATACAGTACATGTATACATGAAATTTGTCTAATCATGACCACCACGCTGCCGGGCAGTTAATAACAGGATGCAGAGCTTATCTGTGTGTAGAAGGATGAATTTATATTTATTGTGAGCCAATCAAAAATTTGAAAATCAATTGTAAAGATACTGCTTTTGTTATTGGAGATCAAGTACAATGTTCATAAATTTCGCGAATTAAGCAACTTTTGTTTTCTAATATCAAATCCAGCAAACCATAGCAAAGAGAAACAAAGTACATTTGTTCTTCATTAGAATTCAGAAAGTATTAAATGGTCTAGGTTCATATGACATCACAGTGCATTAAAACGTTGGCAGGCATGTCTATCTACTACAAGGCTTACAGGCTGCATGACAGCCAATCATAATATGCTAACTAAAGGATGTTGACATTTTTTGATAATTGCGGATGATTGTAGCTTCACAAAAGTGTGACATGATGTAGAACTGTCAGTGATTTATGTAAGAAATGCTTGGTTCAAACTGAACAAGCAATACTACTACACCTAAGCGTAGTAACACTGTATCTTGTGTGAACAATATGCCAACTAAAGATGTGGACATTTTTTGACAGTTATGGATGATAAATAATGTGATGTAGAACTGGCAAGTTAAAATAAGTGATGCAAGTCAGTGATCTAAACTTAGTTCACACTGAACAAGCATTACTATCTAGTAACACCTCAGTGATTCTAAATTGCTTGTGTGAACCCAACCTTATAGGACTTGCCTGTTGTAAATTACAGTAATCTACTAGTATGGCTAGGTTACATTAATTTAATGTTTCAACAAAGTTATGTTTACTATCATTTTGAACATTTTGTAAATTTTGTAGATAGGTTTCAACAGGGTGACATAAAAATAAAACTTAAAAAATACTGTACTGTTGTCTTTCACTTTATTGTTGGACAATTTTTTTACACGTGAGGAGGAACAATGAGACACTCATATTTTGCAGATAAATATATAAAGCACTATTTTATACAGTATATCACTGTTACACAACCAATGGGTCACAAAAAATGTATGATTGGTCGCATATTCTCTTCAGATCATGAAAACTACACGTAGTAATATGAACGGCGACAAACGAAATCCAATTACAGTAAACAAAAGTGCAATTAAAGTGTGGCATTACTTAGTAATGCTTTAAACTTGCACAGTTTCATCTTGGTACTATCAAAACATTTGTACTTCAGGTATGACAACTTGAAAGTGTTAGTTTCGTTCATTTCACTACGTTTGGCTTTTAGCTGAAGATTATAACAATAAAATATTTTCTCGTCAATTAAATTTGTGTCTTTGAATAATTCATAACTTTTCTTTAAATCTCTAACTTATTGAAAGATTTGCAAACATGTGGTTTTGTTAAATGAATAATTTAAAGTTATACAGAATTTTCATTTTTAGGGTTTTTTTTATTTTAAATTGATTTTGTGGGTAATAGAATCTTGTAATCGATTGCCAAAAGAATCAAGTGGGTGGTTCTTATACCCTCTATCCCACGCGCATATAATTGACAGACGTGATTTATAAAAAAATAAATAATACCACATTCAAACATTTTACCACGAGATTCAGATGAGATATTTGGCCTTCGTTGAATTGTGTCTCAGTGCCTGACATTTAATTTGGGTTATGGGTTAAAAAGGTTGCAGAATAGGGCAGTATACAGTATTATTATCTTCCATACTGTGCATAATTGCACTATAGGGTACTTGCATTATAGTTTATAAATAGGCATTGATACCACAAGCAGTCTCAAGATCCTTATTTCTACTATTGATAAAAACTTTTTAATTGTTTGTTTTTATAAACATATTTTTTAATATAGTATATGATTTGGAGAAACAATAAGAAAGAAATTTTAAAAATTAAGCATCACTTCTAAAGTCTTGTTTAGTGCAGCTTAGCAACAATATACCAAAATCATACTGTAAATTCAAAGAATTTGCCATCTTTTTTTAGTCCCAGAAGTCTCTCTGAAGTATTGCTAGGCAACCATAAACAATAATTTAAAAGTAAATATCAAAATATTAGACTGGAAAGATCTGTACATGTTTTTGTTGACCTGGACTGTTTATAGGCTCCTATTTGCCCAGGTATGGCTTGACATTGTAGATATTCATGAGATTGTGTCAGGAATATTTTTGCAGCCCCTTGATTTGGAATTTCCTCGGACTGTGGAGACCACATAGCTTCATATATGCAATCCTGTGACTTGCATGATCAAACAACCAATCAATTACTTTTGAGACAGTCAAAGCAAAGAGTATATAACTGCAAGAGGTTCGACTCGCATAGTTTTGTTGGAACGTAATCCTATTTCAAAAAGTAATGCCACAAAGGGGCATGTCCTTAAAAGACGAGTTTTGAACTCTATTCGAAACCAGATTTAAATTCTGATATTGCAACCCCTATCTCCTGGCAGTATTTTTAATGTTCCATTGCGTGCATACAAAATCAGGGCAGTTGGATTCTTGTAGTTCTATAATCTTTGGTCAAAACAAGAAAGAACTGCAGTATAATATAGATAACTGACTTGTTGAGGGCCTACAGTGATATACACATTATTGTTGATTATATATAGCACCTCTTTCAGGCACAATAGCAAGCTTTTGATTTGCGTGATGACACAACGCTAGAACGGATTTACCCATGCAAGACCGTCCTACATTCTCTGCACAACATAGATTCGGCTAAAATCCACATGAGAACTTAACATTCTCGCATGCACAGATGACTTCTTAGTGATGTCATTACGTTCTACGTCCTACCGCATCGTGCAATAGAAAGCTCCCTAATAACAACTCATTGCACGTATATTGCGTATTTATCTACACTTAATACTTCAACAGAAGATAGTCCTTTAGTGTATCTGGTATACCAAGTGTATATATCTTGTTAAGTCTCTTTGGCCCGATGCATTTTCTAATAGTGAAGCGGCAACAATGTTGTAGTAATCGCGGTTTGCTATTTAATTTTGACAGTCGCTGTAACCGCTGATCCGTTATTTTGCGAGGAACATTCCTGAGACAAAAGGATGTACGGGGTGCTTGTCCCGGCCATAATAGCCCTGCGACTACCTGACAATTTGACAGGTCAAAGTACATTGATGTTCGTATGATTGCTTCTAAGACTTCTTCGGTCTCGGCACACAGCACCTCGTGCTGTAGAAGTGTTCTATGATTGTACCAGATGTTAACGTCTGCACCGTACCGCACCAGCAGTACAGCGGCAGCTGTTTGTCTAGGGCATCGTCGGAACGCAGCATCTGCTAAGGAATTCTCATTAAGGCAAAATGTCACCAGATGAAGTGCTTTCAATCCTGAAAATAATTCAACAAAAAAATTAATTCAAGAACAAAAAAATATATAATTCAGATCATAGAAGTTACAGTATAACTCTTAACGTCGGTTCATACTATCAAATTTGATGTGACAAATAAATGTGACATGCCCCTGTATGGACACATCACACAAATCTGATAGTGTTGACAGTGCATGTGACAAATTTGTGTGATGTGCCCATATATAGTCATGATGATGCCATATTACATCTATATATTTGTCACATAAAATTTAGTAGCGTGAACAGGGCTAAAAGCACTGTCACACTAACAAATTTGTGTCATGTGTCCATACAAGGGCATGTCACATTCTATTTGCCACATCAAATTTGATAGTGTGAACTGGGCTAAAAGCACTGTCACACTAACAAATCTGTGTGATGTGTCCATACAAGGGCATGTCACATTCTACAGTATTTGTCACATCAAATTACACAAATCAATCGTGATGTTGGTAGTCTATGAGTGAGATACTTACCTGGATAACCTTCCCTCCCTTCCTACCCTCGCCGTGATCGTGTCGATCTTTAGGGACGCAACCAGCAGCGAACCCTGAGATCGAGTGGACGCCTAAGCTGCCCAATCTAGAGCCGCCGCAAACTTAGTCGGGGGCCAGCGCGCACAA